ATAAAAGCTGCAAAGAGTTTAATTGGCAAAAAACCCGAATGTCTAATGAATGTCAAACGACAAACTAACTTTACCGCCGTAAGTGCATCGACAAGATCAACGGCTACGAGTGTGTGTGCGAACCCGGATACACATGTGAGTCAGAGCAGCATCTGTGTGTGTGTGTGTGTGTGTGTGTGTGTGTGAGAAAACACACTGAGTCTGCGCGCTGGGGGAGGAGTATCTATGTCTCTCTCTCTCTCTCTCCGTCTTTCTCCTCCTGCTCTGTACTTGCAGTTTTTCCACCCTCCCACTTCTCTCTCTCTTTATTTGTCTCTCTCTCTCTCCCTCTCAAGTGCAAGGCCATGTGGGACGTCTGATGAGGAGTTTCACCCCTCCGCGTCTCCAGTTTCATATCTCTCTTTCCCTCTTCACCGTTCTTTGGCTTTCCGTACGGGTTCCTCGAGCTCCGCTGTCTTTGCAAGGTGGAGACCCGCTGGAGACTAGTTTAAAGAGTGTAAGGGGGGAAAAGGCAGAAAGAAAAAACCAGGCTTCTTTTTTTTGCCGCGAGGGCCTCCTGACTCGAGTGCGACAGAGGCTCCACCACAAGCCTGCCAACACGCTCACATTTTCCAGCACGTTTGTGCGCTTTTTCATGCACCCGATTGCGGGATTTCAGCAAGGTTTGCGACTGCTTTTGATTCGCGAAGTGCCTATTTTGAAATTTTCTCTTTCAATTTCAGTGAGCGGCCGAATCCATCGGGACCCGAAGCCCACGCCAGCGCAGCGCCGGGCCCCTCGGAGTGCTAAAAACCTGCGGGATTTGCCATTTGGAAGTACTGACCTGCGACTTACCCATTCCCGATCCGTTCGGACAGGAGATTCAGGAGTGAAGCTGCGCCGCTTTGGGACAGGTGCCAGTTGCAAAAGGCGAGTGAAAATATCAGTGATCTGCATGATCTGCATGAGGAAACATTGGGGGTGAGCAGAAAACACAAACGCGCAAACGTCCGTGCAACTATCGGAAAAAAAAAGTGAAGGATGGTTGCAAGGGGAGGGGGAGACAGAAAAAGTGGATCGTGAAAGAGGAGGTGGGGGGTGTTTATTCAAGCCTGCTTGATGCTCCTCGGACCTTCGAGAGCTGATCGCATGTGCCGCGGTAACCGCGGGACCATTTGCATACGGCAGACACGCTAATTGTATGTTTGCTAACATGCACCATTCAGCAAGACGCGCTCCAGTTCGCAGACGGGGTTCACACACGCCTCCCAGACACCTCGGAGGCCTCCTATTGTTCCAGAGGCCCAGCCAAGCAGCCGGCGAGCCTAACCAGAGCCCTGCGCTGGCCTGCAGAGCGGGAGAACTGGAATTCGAGACCAGACGGGATAGCAGGATAGTGGATAGACTCACAGCCCCTCTCTCTTTCTCTCCGCAGCAAGAAAAAAGAGGCCTGTGGAAAGCGCTGCCTCCGGGCGCTGACGTCCTCGCAGATGTGTGTAAGTCACAGCAGCGTATGTGTGCGTGCGTGAATGCATGTGTGTGTGCATGCTTTTTTCCTTTTTCGATGCACAGATTGCTCACGCGCTGGTAACGTTTATAACATGCATTTCTGAAGCACAGCATACGGCGATTAAAATGCACTGATACGGGTAAAATGCACACAACAACAACAAACTACTTTTGTGCATTTTTACTTTTATTGCAGTTTATGAAGCATCGCTCAATTCAGTATTATTCCGAAATGCCTGCAAATGCAACAAACTCTGTGATGTGTTCGAAATAAATTTCAGATTACAATTATCTTCATTCGGATGCATTGAAATTTGCGAAAATGCTTATTCTGATACTTTTCAATCATGTTGAGAACTGAAACTTTTGTACGTAACGGCCTTGTATTATTAAATAAAACGGTGAAAGAGGTATTTATCAGTATTTATATTTGGGTCAAAATGTTGTTGGTTTTTTTTCTTTCTAAATTATAATCGGTAGCAAGAGGCCTGGCTTTACTCTTTGTATTTGGCTTCTATTGAATTACAGTCTTGGCAGCAGAACTGGGCCTTTGATCCACCGTACTCTGCTAACTGTGATTTTATTTATTGCAATCTTTTTCTCCTTTGAATTTAAATATATTTATTTTAATTGCTATTGCATACAGTGATTTTTTTTTTGTGCTTTTTGATCAAAAATATTTGAAACCTACAGAATGCACATGTGGTTTGCACTATTAAAAGGTAAAATGTTTGCACCATGCATTTAAAAAGCAACAAAAATATTATATATTTCTAATTATGCTTTAACACATTTATGATTAAATTAATATCTAGCAAAGCTGGGGAGATTTTCTTTTTTTTTTTCTTCTTTTTTTTTACAATTTTTAAGTTTTTAAGACAACATGGCGTCCCTACATTTTAAATAGAATTCACACATCTATATGTATAAGGGTATTTCATGAATTAAAAATAAATATCGAGACACTTGATTTTATAAATATATTCCCTAAATAATATTACAGTGAATTCTGAAACTTGACCAATATTTATTTATTATCGGTTATTTATGATTTATAGAATTCCGGATTGTATTTTTTGTAAAGGTTGTTTTTTTCTGATAATTGTCAGGCAGTTTTTAGGATATTCTGTTGTAATGCGTGTGGTGTAGATTTATGCCTTCCAGCCAAATACTCCTGCTATCACTGTCATTGTGGGTGTGGAATAATTCAATTGGATTCCCAGATTGTGGCCTTGTGTGTGTGTGTATGTGTGTGTGTGTGTGTGTGTGCGTGTG